ATTTTAAGAAATTTCCAAGAAGAATGCAGTACCTAAAGATAAATATGTCAAAAAACGTGTAAGACATATACATTGAAAACTATAAAATACTGCTGAAATTAAAGAAGACCTAAATTTATAGAGAAATATACCTTGTTTATAATTCAGAAGACTAAATATATTGTTAGGCTGTCAGTTATCCAGAGTTTGATCACTAGAATCAACATAATCCCATTCAAAATCCCAGCAGGATTTTTTTTTTTTTAATAGAAAATGTGAAGCTGATTCTACAGTTCTTATGGAAAATAAAAAGGTCCTAGAGTAGCCCAAACATTACATAATTTCAAAACTTTAGAAGTAATCAGGACAGCTGAAAAATAGATCATTGAAACAGAATAGAGAATCCAGAAATAGATCCACACATATCTGGCAATGAACTTCTGACAAAGGTGGAAAGACAATTAAATGGAGAAAAGAATGTCTTTTCAACAAATGGAACTATTGGCTATTTCCATGCAAAAAATCACCCATACCTCGTGTCATATTCATAAACTAATTCAAAATGGGTTATAGACTTTAATGTAAAACCTAAAACTATAAAACTTGTAGGAAAAACGAGAGAAAATTTTTGTTGAACTTGGGTTAGGCAAAGATTTCTTAGATTTGACATCAGAAGCATGATTCATGAAAGTGAAAGTTGATAATTTGGACTTTTTCAAAGTATATGATAAATACAAACCACAGACTGGGAAAAATTTACTACACATTATCTGTTTAATAAAGAACTTGTATAGAAAATATATAATGAACTCTAAAAGCTCATTTAAGAAAAAAGCCCAGAAAAACATAACCCAGTAAAATAAACACTTTACCAAAGAAGATGTGTGGGTAGCAAAGAAGCACATTTTAAAATGCTCAACATCACTAATTGTCCAATTTAGACCACAATGAGTTACCACTACACATTTATTAGAATAGCTAAAATTTGAAAGACTGATTATACCAAGTGCCAGGTTTTGTTTTGTTTTTTAATATTCTGGAAACTGTATTTTATATATAACAGTATATAAAATTATTTTGTTTCTTTTTTATAGCTGCACAGTATTCTTTGGTTTATTCAGTGTCGCTTTTATTGATGGAAATTTTATTTCCAGTCTTGTTACTATAAATAATACTGGAGTAACATAGTTTTGTTCATATATATTTTCAACATTCGTTGTTCCTCCGTATCTTGGAGATAAAGCTTTAGAAGTGGGATTGTTGACTCAATGGGTAAATACACACGTAACTTTGGGTGATGCAAAATTCTCATTCATAGGGGTTGTATCATTTTGCATAGTGATCAGCAATGCATGAGAGTGGCTGTTTCCACCACATTCTCTCACCAGCAGAGTACAGGGTACTTCAAAAAGCTTATGGAAAGATTCATATTATCTTTTAATTCTGTTTTTCCACAGACTTTTGGAAGTATTCTCATATGTTGTCAGATATTTGGATCTGGCCAAGGTACGTGAGAAATGGTGTCTCTTGGGCCGGCCCGGTGGCGCACTGGATAGTACGCTGCTTGGGAAGAAAAAAAAAAAAAAAAAAAAAAAAAAAAAAAAAAAAGAAATGGTGTCTCAGTGTAGGCTTTATTTGTATTTCTTTTATTATGAACAGAGTGTGTTCCCATATGTCTACAAGCTATTTCTATTTCTTTCCCCAGATCTATTCATTCTTTCAGCCCATTTTCCATAGGTTTGCTGGCCACTTTCTTCTCTATTGGTGAAGATTTTGTTTGTTTGTTTGTTTTTTCCTTTTTGTCTTTTTTACTGACCAGCAACGGGATCGCAACCCTCGGTGTTGCGCCCGCACCGTGCTCAGCCAGTGAGCGGGAACCGGTCTCCACATGGGATCCAAACCCTCAGCGGGAGTGCCGCAGCGCTCCCAAGCGGCGCACTCTCCAGTGCGCCACCAGGCCGGCCCATATTGGTGAAGCTTTTTATATTTTAGAAATATTAATCCCTTTTAATATGTTACAAATATATTTTCTCAGGTTGTCACCGTCAAATTTTACTTATTTTGCAATTTTTGTGGGGTGGGGGACTGGGCAAGTTTTTTATATTTAAGTAATCAAGTTTACAAATCTCTTCCCTTGTTGCTCCTAGATTTTGAGACATAATTAGGATTTCCCCATTCATGAGACAGAAATTTTTTTCTAGTACAGCACTTTTTCATTTTCATTTTCTCCATTCAGGTTTCTGATCCATTTGGAATTTATCCTTGTGAACAATGAGAAAAAGATCAATTTTATCATTTTCCATATGATCATCTCGATATGTCAATACCACATATTAAAAAGTCTGTTTTTCGGGCCAGCCCCATGGCTCACTCGGGAGAGTGTAGGGTTGATAGTGCCGAGGCCGCAGGTTCAGATCCTATACGGGGATGGCCGGTGTGCTCACTGGCTGAGCGTGGTGCCAACAACACTGTGCTGAGGGTCGTGATCCCCTTACCAGTCAAAAAAAAAAAAAAAAAAAAAGCCTGTTTTTCTTCAGCTGCCTTTTATTGTATCCCAGATGTCCACTGCACTGGGGTCTGATTCTGGATTTCTGTCCCATCCTGTGGTTAGTCTGTGTCCTTGGGCTGTTACCCGACTGAGTAATGACAGGGCCTGCCCTGCCCTCTCACTGCGCCCTTCATTGCTCTTCTCCTTAGGCTTTCCCTGCTTCATGCTTCATTGTTCTTCTAAATTGACTTAAGACTCAACTTGAAGACATCTCCTTAAAGATCTACAAATGCTTTTTTTTTTCATTCTGCAGTGTAAATGTCCCCAGTTTCCTCAACTTTTGGAAAGTGATTTCCAGACCATTCATTCTCCCTGTCCTTTTCCATGAGTCAAGTAACCTTAAAATGCGGGACCTAGAACTGGACCCACTGGCATAGGGGTGATAATGGCATGACACCTGACGCACAGGGTAAGGTTTTTTTAAAGGGATGTCACCAGAATGGTAGGCCACATGAGCAGCTGGAGCTTGGGCGGGGCGGAGTAAGCAGAGGACGGAGGGTGCGGGGCCGCTCCTTTCCTGTCCGGACGGGATGGTGGCTGGGAGTCTCGGCACTTTGTGACATAGGGGCCAGCTCTGGGCAGCTGGAGAGGCCTGCCTTCCTCCTGTCCCCTGGCCCCGGCCCATGGTCCTCTCCCAGTAGCCGACTGGCCGCCTCATTCCAGCCCCTTGTGTCGACCATTCTCTTAGCTCCTACGGTGGGAGAGCCCCATTCCTCACCTCCCCCTGCTTGGATGCTTCCGCTCGGCTGCCCACGCAGCGCCGTCTGACGTGTTCACAGTGTTCCAGGGTTCACTATCATCACCGTGGTTACAGTGTTCTCAGTGTTCGGTGGCCGAAGAGTTGGCCGCAGTGCAGATGCATTTCAGTCTACTCTGTGATCCGGACGGTCTCCATTACAGAAGACGATGAAGGAGACGAGTCCTGTGTCATGAGCGGGACGGTCTCCACTAGAGGAGCTGGTGGAGGAGACAAGCCCTGTGCCTTGAGCCAGATGGTCTCCATGAAAGGAGACAGTGGAGGAAACGAGTCCTGTGCTGTGAGTGGGACGGTCTCCATTAGAGGACACGGTGAAGGAGATGAGTATTGTGCCTTGAGTCCGATGGCCTCCGTGAGAGGAGACAGTGAAGGAGATGAGTCCTTTACCATGAGCAGGACGGTCTCCATTAAAGGAGATGGTGAAGGAAACAAGTCCTGTGCCTTGGGCTGGATGGTCTCCGTGAGAAGAGATGGTGAAGGAGACGAGTCCTATGCCACAAGCAGGACGGTCTCCATGAGAGGAGATGATGAAGGAGACGAGTCCTGTTCCTTGAGCGAGACAGTCTCCATGACAAGAGGCAGTGAAGGAGACGCATCCTGTGCCGTTCAGCAGGGAAGCGTCTCACCCACTACCTATCCATACGCGATGTTGGCAGTCGCTGCCATTGTGCCTATTGCCACATTGGACAGGGCGCTTTGGGGACCCCTGTTGTTGATAAACACAGCTCTCACAGCCAAGCTGCTGGAGGTGACGATCCCCGTTCCCACGGAGGGACCCCAATTTTGGCAGGCGGGTGGACGAGTTCTGAGCAGAGTGGGTGCCCTGAACGAACTGGCCAAGGAAATGGAGCGTGTCAGGCCCGAGGCACGCAGGATGTTGCTGTGCTGTTTAGGGAGGCTAGTGGGAGTGTATTTGAAGTTTCATCACTTCCTCATTTCTTACTGAACAGTTAGAAGTGAAAGGTGCTGTGTTATCTTTAAAGCCACTATCCAAACACTGAGAGCCAGCGGGTCTTTTCCCAGTAACCCCTGGCACTGTTGAGGGATGGGGTCAGTATGGTAGTTAACTCATGTACTTGTAGAGGGCAGCAAAAACAGTGTGGAGCAGGCAGGTGTTCAATGGACTATCTCCCAGGAAACATTTAAAATTAAGATGCTGAGTTTTATAGAAGACAGGTAAATTCAGGATTTATCTAGACCAGTTACCAGGAGCTATCTGACTTAGCATGTGTCCTTGTTTACATAAGAGTAGAATAAAATTAAAGTTTAAATTTTGAGAGGAATAACACATCCATGACCATCATATTGGTTTTATTTGCAGCCATGAATGTTGATTACTTATACTATATTTAAATTTTTTGTCTTACGTGGTTTTTTTTTATAAAGTAATAAGAACCACTTAACCAAGAGAAAAGTATGATGCATAGGGACTCTAGCCATGTGTTGGACAAAATGATGTGGCAGGGTCTCTACTAACGAAATATATGCTCAACTTAAAGACATTCAGACTGATAATACTTAAAAACACTACGAGTCAAACAAGAAACGAGACTGCCAACATCCTGTCTTTCTTGAAGCACTAAGAGCTCTTGAAGCTTTTTGAGGGGGTTGTTATTTGGAGGACTTTGGCATAGAATTTCTATGGCTGACACTTTGTGAGTGCATTATTGAAAATTTGTTTAACGCTTCCCATTATTTCTAAGATGTCTATTTCAGTTTGTTGCTACATTACCTGATGATGTTCAGCCTGGGCAAGATTTTATGGACTGCCATGGGAACCTGTACTTGTTACAGCCTTCTTGGGAATTGATTCATTTGGTGTATTCTTCTGGAGAACTGTCTTGTTGTGAGTAAATTAATTTATACTTTAACTCATAAATGCAAGGGATGTTTTATAATCACTAGCACTTTTATTTGCTTCTTTTTCAGTAACATAAATGCAAATTAATGATTATACTTCAAGCTAACCTTATAAAAGTGTTCTAAAATTTGTGTTTTACACTTAAGTGAACAAGATAACATGTATAAATTCAATTGGCAAAGTTCAATTTATGAATCACTTATATTAAAACCTAAAGATTAAGAATGAGGAGGGTGCACGTATGCACTATCAGTAGAATTGGGAATTCATACAGCCACTCTGAAAAGTAGTTTAGTGATATGTATAAGAAGCCTTACAAATGGTCATATCCTTTTATATAGTATAATATCATGTCTAGTTATTTGTCCTAAAGAAATTACCAATCATGCATTAAAGATCATGTACAAGGGCATTCAGTGGAAAAGTACTTATCAGACTGAAAACCTGTCACAACCTAAATGATCCCTATGGTAGGGGAATTGTTAAATTATTGTATATCGATATAATGGGATATAAGGTGGCTTTACATATTTCAAAGACATTAAGGCACAGAAAGTGCTCACAATTTAACGTGAGGTGGAAAAAAGCAGAAACCATGACTTTAAAGTATAGGTAAACTATGTGTTATATAAAACACGTATGTACACTTGCACACACACAAAAAATGCTGCAAGGAAACACAACAGAACGATAAAAATTCTTACATCTACGAGATGAAGTAATTTTTCAGTTTTTTCCTCTTACATGTACAAGTGTTTGCCAGATTTTCTGATTTGATCATGTGCTCAGAAAATATCTTATTTGGAAATGTGTTTGCCAGATTTTCTGATTTGATCATGTGCTCAGAAAATATCTTATTTGGAAATACAGATTACATAATTTTCAGACACTATTAAATTTTTATATCCTTTTTTTCTGTACAGAATTTGACTTTCAGACATACATAAGTATATGTGTGCATACTCATACATACTTTTTATCGTACTGTATGTCATTCTGCTTCACAGTTGTTTCACAGAATTGGGGGAAATTATTCTGTGTAAATAAACTTTGCAAATGGAAAGCTTTCATTTGGAACTTAACAGTTAACGTGGTCAAAATCATTGAATGCAATTCTTTCTAAAACTGAGTACCGTGTTGTTTTATTAGTTTCTTAATTATATTACACTGCACATATTATTGTCAGTAAGTTTCCTCTCCTTGCCCAATTGATTGTAAAATCGCTCCTAAAAGAAGGATTTCTTTTGCCTGGATTCTCTCGCCTCATGAAGTTTTTCCTCAGATAAAAGGAAAAAGGGAGAATAAAAGTGTGAACAGAAGGGAAAAAGGTGAAAACATTTTATATCTCCTACTCTTCTTTCTCACATTAAAAAATACCCTAACAACTGTTTTGATTTGCACAAGGTTATATAGTCTCTTTGCCCTGTTGCTTCTCAGCCTTAGCATTTGCCTTTTGGAAACGTGGTCCCTACGTGAATTTTAGTTTTGCTGAAGGGGAGCAAAGGAAGCTTACTCTCTCATTAGCTAGGCTGTGACAGTACAGAAATAGTCATTTCCTTCCATGTTGGAATTTTCTGAATGCATTTTCCTAGAACAGCATTATTGCAAGTGTTGTTTAGATACTGTACTAATAATGAGAAACCATGGGTGATTTTCTGGACTGGACGGAAAATCCCATCACCATTTATAACATTTGAAAGAGGAAATGTACTTGGAGTTCTAAAGAAATGTAGTAATGTTTTTTTTTTTTAATTAGTTACTGCTTAGATTTTATTATCCTGTAAATTTAGAGCTGTCTTCAGGGGGTAATTTAGTTTTTGCCCATTTAGAAAGATGTTAGCTGTTATTTCTCTTGTCACTTCTGCATTTTGCTCTAGCAGTCTTCCCTGCCCTTTCAGATGTATGATCACTGTTTATAGTGGCCTGGAAAAATTAAATGATCTAACTCATAAGAAGTATTTCTTCTTCTTCTTCTTTTTTTCTTTTCTAAATGCCTGTTTATTTGGCAGACAAAGTTCAGAAATGTACAGACACAATTTGTAGGCTGAGAAATCTCTGTGGAGTTCTTACTTCACAGCTACACTTCACAAAAGCAGTAATGACAGCTTCTCAGCACATTAACCAGTCATCTTTTGTTTGAAGTGAACACAGTTAGAATGGATTATAAGGCCTATTTCTCTAACTCACCATCAACTTCTTTTGCTCTAATCTTTAAGAACAAGTGGAGCCTTCACTTGATCAGCCACCTCCTTGCTGCTCAGCACCTCGACAGTAGCAAGAACAAACTCAAAGCAGGTCCCAGGACCTCTGCTTGTAAGAATCAGGCCGTCCTTTTCCACACGATTCTGAATGGCTGTAATGATTTCCATTTATCGTTTTGTTTTTAGCAAGTGGGTGTGTTATAACTTTGCTTTCAAAACCTATTTCATGAGCCAACAGAGCAGTAGGACCTGCACAGATGGCAGCTATGAGGCCCTTCCTCTTTTCTCATTCCTTCAGTGTCTCTTTCACAGCAGCAGACTCAGATAAATTCTGTGCACCCAGATTACCTCCTGGAAAACCACATTATATGGTCCCTGTTTTTTTGCATCTTCAACACAGGCATCAGGATGAATGACAGCATCACGGCTACACTGTACTGGGTCTTTTCCAGCCAGACCTGCAATGGTGACCCTAATCCCAACTCGTCTCATGACATCTACATGGATGACTGCCCCCTTTTCCTCTGCTCCCTTAGCCAGGATGACCAGAGCTCTTTTTGAAGCTCTGGTAATATTTTTAGGTCATGTTTTTTAAAGACCCAAACCTGACTGAAAGGGACAACACGCCCAGAAGTATTTCTAAATTCAGCCAATAGCCAACTTCGAATAAGATTTCAAAGATGTTTTCTGGTGAATGAAAGAGGCATATCTTAGTACAAAGATTATGCCTTTAATTTTGTTTCCTCAGAGTCTTTTGGAACTATCATTGTTTCTAGACCTCATCTTGGCTATTTGGGGTTATTAAATAAATGACATTAGGTAAATAAGCATTAGTATATTATGAAATATTAGCCATTAGCGTTGTTAAAGTTGTGTTCATTTTGTAAGATTGGTGCTTATTTAATAGATGTATAAACATATCTTTAACTGCAAGGTATATTTACCTTAGTGCTTTTGTCTATCGAGACTCTTTATGAAGTATCACCACCAATTAAATTTGAAATTCTTTCTAACCTTTTCTTTTTTAAAATCCTGTGAATTCCTTATGCTGAGTGAAATCATTATTAAACTCTCACTTGGTTATGACTTTTCACCATTATATTACGAACTATATATTTTTATTAATAAAATGTTTAACATCAAATTTTATTTCTCTTCCAGAAAAAAAGTAGAGTTCATCAAGGTAAAATTTAAGACACATTTTGTCTTTTGTACTGTTTCTTCTGTATTGGTGTTTGTTTAGTTTTGTATAACCTAGAAGAAGATATAATGACTTCTTACGTCTGATTGACTTATTAGCTCCCGAAAGTTTTAGTTTTCCTGGGTTGCTAGGTTGGATGATGGAGTAGATGGTGGTGATACCAATGGATAGGAGATGAGGAAGAATAAATTGTGGGAGTAGAGAGATGATTAGTTTAATTTGGGGCAGCCTGACTTTAAGTGTTGATGCAGTGCAGATTTATTACAGGTGAACAACGTTCCTGTGCTAATGATTTAATCAATACATGAAATACTTATTAAGCTAGATAATTAAAGGAATAGGAATATCAATCAATATATTTGCATTTTCTTTCTGTTTCTCATTTTAAATGACATGTATTTGAAGGGATCCCACTTTCTGAGAAGAAATCTGCTTCATGCAGAGAGGAACAATAAGCTATAATGTTTTACTATATTTTCCATTTTTCAAATATATTTAAACTAGAGTCTCATTTGAATAAGGATACTATTATAAGAATATTTTTCTTAAATTTTAATAATATCTTTATATCCTTATTGCTGTTAACTGCAGATTGCTCTTTAAAAAGTCATAAAAGTTTTAAAAAGAAGTTCTTTTTCCTCATAGTGCCGTATAACATGTCTTTGCTGCTAATATATCTAGTGACTCATTGATTTTTGCCCCCTTTTTAGTCACTGAACAGCAAATTTCTGACAAGGTGAAAAGCATAACAAGAGAAAATAGAGAACTTCTTCAAAAGTTGTCATATTATGAACAGAAGGTATAATGATTTTTTTAGTTTTGTTCCCCATTTTTCCCAATTGAATTATTTCCACATGTTTTATACTTACTATAAATTTATAGTTATTGTAGTATTGTTAAATCATTTTTTCTTATTATTTCCTACCAACCATTCAGACCTTAAGCAGTCATCATATGTGTAAAGCACTGCTTCCTTCTGAAAGGGGTTGCTTATTTGTAAATTAGTCTTGGTAGAGCTATAATTTATATTTTTGAATTCTGAATGCTGTATTTTATATAGATCAAGGAATCAAAGAAATATATTCAAGAAACCAAGAAACAAAATATGATTCTTCACGATGAAGCGATTAAATATAAGGTAAAATTCCCTTCTTGGGATTACATTCTGAAAAGGAAAGTAAATGTAATGGGTAATTATTACCAATCTTAATATCTGTGTAGGATAAAATCAAGACATTTGAAAAAACTAGTGAAATTCTGGATAACACAGCTAAAAGTCTTCGTGTTACATTAGAATCTGAGAGAGAACATACTGTCAGGAATCAGGACTTGGTAAGAGTTTTGCTGCTAAGTGTTACTGTAGTTTGGCTTTTGAAATATTTTGTGTACTGCATGAGTTGAACACGGTATTTTCCATGCTCTTATCTTAAGTAAGAGTGAGAGTCAGAGAAGTTGAACCTACTTCTGTCCATTTTTGTGGAATTTTAAGGACTAATATAACTTAAAGTGGTTTTATGGAAGTATTTGTGTCCTCAGCTCTGGGTAATTTTCATATTACTTGGTTCTGTCCTCTGAAACATGTAGAGCCACTAAGAAACTGTAACTGTGATAACTGTAACAGTCCTTATATTTTGTTTTGTAAGTTCTTTTTCAGTAAAATTTTTACTTTAGTTTTAGTATTACATGAAAGTTGCAAAGACAGTAGAGAGGGTTCCTGTATGTCATACAGGCAGTTGAGCTTGACCACCTAGCAAAGGTCGTCTTGCCAGGTTTTTCCGCTATAAAATTACTATTTTTCCACCTTTTATATACTGGACTCTTTGGAAGGAAGTTACCCACAGTCCAAGAGGTGAGAGTTATGCCCCACCTCCTTGAAGAGCCAGTATCTCCATAAATTGTTTGGAATTTCTTCTGTATGTGAAATTTATCTTTTCTCCCTCAAATCCTGCCATTTTTAATTCAGGCAAGAGAATTTTTAAACTGCCGTTGTGTTTGTTTGTTTGTTTGCTTGCTTACTTTCCCAACCACTAGAAAGAAACTACTGATTTGAATTGGTTTACTTGAAAGTTTGTTCATTTTCTTTGCTTTCGCCTTTCTGTCTGGTCATCTACTACATTACCTCATAACCAGGAACGCTGTGGATGCCATAAAATATTTCTGCCCTCAATTATGTCTCCACTTTAAGTTCTTGATTTTTCCCTTGTGCCAAAACTGGTTCACATGCTTTTACCTGAAACATACAGGATGGCACTGGGATATGTTTTGTTATTGTTTCTTCTTTTTGGCATATATCCTGATGTTTCTACTAAAATCCTAATATATGTTTTGTGTTCTGTTTCCACATGGCAGATATTAGAAAACAGGAAATCTATAGAGAAGTTAAACAATGTTATCTCCATGAACGCTTCAGAATTTTCAGAGGTAAAGCTGACTACAATTCTTACGGAATAGTTAAAAGTATGTTTTAGTTTTGTTGAGGAGCAAAAATTTGATGTGTGCTAAAATATGCAGAAAATGAAAACTACGTTATTTCTGTTTAGAAAAGTGTAACGTGCTTGTCCTTTGGAATTAATTCACTGATAGGAATGTTTTAACATTACGTTCAAATTGCTCTTAAAGAAGATAAGCTTAGTGAAGAGAAGGTGAAGTCTGAATGCCACCGGGTTCAAGAAGAAAATGCTAGGCTTAAGAGGAAGAAAGAGCACGTAAAAAAAAAAAAATGGATGTCCTAGGTCATGTAAACTAGACAATCGAATATCATTACCTCATGAATATTTTTTCTCAGACTGGTTTTTAAGGTCATGAAATGAGCATGCAGAATTCTGTTCTTAGATATGCAAAGATAAATCTATGCTTCAAGAACTGAGTGCATGTCTACATTCTTATCTGTTCCAGAGTTCCTGTTCTTCTGTACAATTTATTGTTGCTATCAGAGTGTTCAGTCTTTGTCTTATCAAACATTAACCACCTAGTAACTTCAGTAGCTTCAAAGGTGTAATAGATTGGCTTTTTACACCAAGGAATTAGGTATTTTTTAACACTTCTTCGACTAGTTAACTGCTTCATTGGCCAAGGGAAGGTTACAAAATCAGGAGTCTGGACTTCGGAGATGATAGGACATGCTCTTCCATTCGTACTGGAAGTGAGTTATTTGAATTGGCTGCAATTTTCTGAAGGATGCAGTGAACTGGATCAACTTCCTTGACAGATTTGGTGTTCATGCTATAGCTCTGAGTGTTAAGACCACTCTCCCCTCTCCCTCAGCAAGGGTCTTAACCGATAGTGACAGGTCAGGGAGGGGCTTAGTTTCTTACTTCCCAGTCTCATTCACATTGTTCTAATGTCTTCAGTGCAAAAGCCCTAACCTGTAGGAATTGACATGTTTTGACTTTTCAGTTGCAGCAGGATATCAGAGACTGGAGTAAATCACATGCTGAACTCAGTGAGCAAATCAAATCATTTAAGAAGTCTCAGAAAGATTTAGAAGTAGCTCTTACTCACAAAGATGATAATATTAATGTAAGTTCATTCTCATGAATACATGCTTAATTCTCATGAATTCTCATGAAATTTGCTGAATTAAAATTGAGAGGCTCTTACAGATCCCCTTTTGCTTCTTTTCTAGGGTTTGACTAATTGCATTACACAGTTGAATCAGAGTATGAATCTGAATCTGAGAGTCAAAATAAAGGAGGAAATTAGTCAGATGAATTAGCAAATGGAGAGGTGGGAGGTAAGATCAGTCTCAGGAGGTTGAACCCCTTGTTGCCTTCTTGTCTTTAATTTAGTACACTGATGCTGCTTCTCAGCTGGCAGAATTTCCTCTTAAGCTTTAGAGTCATAGACACATATCATTGGATTTCTATATATTTCTGTTTGCAATGGGCAGAGGTGGTTTGCTGGGGTGTGATATATCAATTGGAATGCAAAGAACACTGAAGTTTCCCCCCCACCCCATCCCATTGAGAACTAGTAAACACGCACTGGAACTGTACTGGTCATGTTTTATACCTCTAAGTATTGAACACATGCAATAGGAGAAACTTGTTTCTCAGCTTCATAGAGATGGCATAAGATTTTAATACTCGTCTCTGTAGCTCTGTGGTTTTAAGGCTTACAACCAGTTTTAAGAGTACTGAGGTGGTTGGAGCTATAAACTAACTTAGGCTGTGAGAGTGGAGGCTATATAGGATAGCAGTGTTTACAGATGAGGAAAATGTTTCTAAACACAGTTTCCCAAGTTGGCTATTGCTTGCATTACTGGGTGTTTTAAACCACACCTGGTAACAGATTCTGGGGGAGAACACAGGAGTGACACTTTCTAAAATAAGGCACTTACCCAAGCAGAGATCTGAGAGAGAAGACAGAGCTTCATCTCAGATATTCTTGCTCAAAAACAGCATGGATAACACTTTTATTGTATGTACTGGGAATTTACTTTTTAAATTATATTTGTAATTCTCTTAAAACTCAATTAGTCTCTTTAGTTCTATTGTTTAATTTGTTTTTTCTTTTAGTATTTGAACACGTTAATTGTTTAGTTTGGGGGAGGTCGAGAAAATATAGTCAAAAAAGCAAGGGAAGAAAAAGCAATTAAAGCCTTCTGTTTTTTAGGTAACCGGAATGAGAAAATGAAAACTCGAATTAAGCAGATGATGGGCGTCTCTCAGGTATAATCCTTTTTATAGAGTCACATAAGTGCTTGTGGATTCTTACAACGCCTCACTTTTAAGAATACTTCTCTCTTCTGCACTTTTTAGACACAAACTACAATATCAGTAGTTGAAGAGGATCTAAAACTCTTACAATTTAAGCTAAGAGCCTCCATGTCCACAAAATTGAACCTGCAAGGTAGGTTGCTTCTTGAAAAGAAAACACCACATATTGGAAAGATACAAAATATCATTGGGAAGACGAGGAATGGCTTTCTGCTTTGTTGTTCTCTCCCGCCGGCTTAAAATGACAGTCTTCCTTCTAATTCTGAGATTCTTTTTTCCTACGGGATCTTGGCCATACACATGTATCTTTCCTGCCTTATTAGCTCTCTGATACCTTCAAGCACATTCTATTTTTTCTAGATGTTCTAATTGTTCTCAGTATTCTCAGACTAACTCATCCTCTATTGGAAGCAAAATTCTCATGAACTTGAAGGTTATTAGGTTGGAACCAGTTTCCAGTAGATAACAGCCTGATTATGGGACCGTTTGGACTGTTTTGCTGTTCAATAAACATTGCCAATACTCAGATTGGCCTCTTTCCTTAATCATGATTCCAGCGAAGTAGGTAGTAGGATTTCCACATCTGACATGTGAAAATGTTCTACTGTTAATTGCACAGCTACAAGACATGTTCCAAAGGCTCTTTGGCTGGCGACCTTTATCATGTCTTGGTTTCAGAAACAGTTCATCCATAACAAAATAAGAAAAGTAACTTGTGGTCTTTCCATGGTAGAAATAAGAGAAGTAATTCTCCCTTGCTTTACCCTAATAAGCTTAGCTATGCTCGGTTGATTCGTCTGGCTCTCCACACTGAAGTAAGGTGAGCTTTCTTTATCTCCAGCACAGTAGATTGCCCACAGTGTTTTTACATCTGTTTCGTTCAGTAGTGAGCAGAGAATTATGAGGTAGAAAATGCAGATGATTCCCAAACAGGCCACAGTTTGATTTTTATCCCTAAATGGCAGGTTTGAATTCCTTCCTATGACTTTGTATGTCTCTGCATTTTTGAGAGTAGGATGGGAAGTGACATTTGAATAGAGATTTCAGCTAGACTGCTGGGAAGAAAGAGAAACACTTTCACTTGACAACCTATTTTATCTTAGGAAATTGAGTCAAGAAGAGTATGAGCGGCAAGAAAGAGAGCAGCAGCTGTCAACTGCAGATGAGAAGGCGGTTTTGGCTGCAGAGGAAGTAAATCCTTACAAGTGAGTTCAGCTTCTAACTTCTAAAGGTGGTGTCAATGGCTAATGAAACTAGTGTTAGCTTTTTTTTAAATAACCATTTATACATAGTGTAGAAGAAAATAATGTACAGAAGCATACATGTCATTGGGCATGAAGACCTTCAGTTCACACAAGAGAAAAAATAATTTTATACCCAGTGCTGGCAAGACTGTAAGGGAACTTGGTTCATGCAAACAGTTTGGGGGAGAGGGGATTATATATTGCAGTAATTCTTTAAAAGACCAATTAGTTATAAGATGTATCAAATGCCATTAAATTTACTGTGCCATTTGATAGATGCAGTGGTCATAACTCTCCGAAGTTTTCTGATAAAAGGGGGGAAAAAAGCTTTATCAAGTAAGATATTAATAGGATTATTTGGGAACATATTGAAGAACATATAAGGAAACTATAATTTATCAACTCATAATCTCCATCGACTCAGAATTTCTAGCCACTAAATAATAAGGAAATTATGTAGCATTCATTTTCATCATTCTTGTACTCTATTTCTATAACCATGTAAATATGTTTTTATATGTACGGATGAAGTCCTTTAGGGCCAGTTGTTAAGAGTATAGGGAATTGGCCAGATTGTTTGAATTTTTATCCAGTTGTGCTTTATCTGGTAAAAACAAGTGTAATTCTTAGGCAGAGAATTGAAGAAATGGAGGAAGAATTGCAGAAAACAGAGCGCTCATTTAAAAACCAGGTAATAATTATACTGCCCTACAGTTGCAGGATTCTTTGGTATCAAATACAGACTCTTATACTGGCTATTATAATGAATTCCAAAACATATTTTTTGATGTATCTTTTCAGATTGCTGCTCATGAAAAAAAAAGTGCATGCTATCTGTGTAAGATTTTCTTTCTTTCCTTTACTTTGTGCGTAATCTACCACAACTGAATTTAAATATATTTTCTCCAACAGCTAAAAGTTCGTGCTGCGTAAAGCGCTATAGCTGAAGAGAAAATGGAAGCTGCTGACCTGAGACACAAGTAAGTGATTTTGATATCTCTATTTTCAATGCAGTTTAGTGTTTTAAAGGCTGTACTACGTGGTCTCTAATAAGGACTTGATTTCTATTTCATATTTAAGTCCATTCTTTCTCTATATTCAAGATTATTGGAAATAACTCAAAAGGTGGCACTGCTGCAAGAAGAGCCTGTGATTATAAAACCAATGCCAGGAAGAAGAAACACACAGAACCCTCCACGGAGAGGTGGAAAACATTTCGTAAAAAGCAGCAATCTGTTTTTTAGTGTAAAGCATATATAAATTACTTTTTATTTTGTGTGTAATAGTTATGATACCCTAGATATAATTCCAAGAACTTACCGAAGAAAAGAAAGGTCTTGAAGTGGTAACAAGACGCTGTCTTCTTCAGGTCCTCTGAGCCACAATGGCTCGCTTGGCCCATCCCCTGTGAGTGGTGGAGAATGCTCCCCTCCACTGGCAGCAGAGCCACCCAGGAGGCCTCTTTCCACTACACTCAACCGAAGAGATATGCCTAGAAGAGAATTTGGTGAGCATTCACATGTGACCTTGAAATAAACTGTTTCAAGAGTGCTCTTTCGGGCCAGCCCAGTGGCACACTCAGTAGAATGCAGCGCTTGAGAGCGCGGTAGCGCTCCCGCTGAGGGTTCGGATCCCATATAGAGACTGGTCCGCTCACTGGTTGAGTGCGGTGCAGGTGCGACACCGAGGGTTGCGATTCCGTTGCCAGTTGCGGTACAGGCGCGACACCAAGGGTTGCAATCCCATTACCGGTCACGAAAAAAGACAAAAAGGAAAAAAAAAAAAGAGTGCTCTTTCCCTCTTATTCAAGATTTCTAATGCAAATAACATTTTAGAATTTGGGTCTTTCCAGTAGACAGAAGCAAAGTTCTTAATTTGTCTTGGTGGATAGTCTACTGCAAGATCTACTTTAGAACAGAAAGCATTTACTTATTATTTCTGTGGAGGTCCTTTTCTTGTTTTTTGTTTCTTTTAACTTTTTACTGGGAAGTATAACCCTTCACCTTTAAAAGTGAGGTTCCTCTCCTGAATATTATAAAACTAGCCTTAAAACTTTATAGTTTATGCAGCATACATAATTCTATATATCATCACTATAATCTGTAATACTGTAAGTTTGTTTTAAAAATCCTAAATATGTCTATAAAGCTAGGTAAGATATTGAAGTCAGATTATATAGTGAAAAAATCAACCTATAGAATTATATCAAGCTTAAATGAAGTACAGGACCAGTGCTACTAATGTGCAGGGATAATTGCTGTTAGTTCAATCCACAACAGTTCTTATTTTAATTCTTTAAGCCCGTGCATAAATTACAAGTGATTTCCCTTACTTGTATTGGGAGACCCATTTTTATTGCCGCTTTCTAAGTAGAGTTGAACCCAGGTCTTACCACAATTGGTTTATTTCTCCTGAAAAAATACATTCAAGGGCTCAGTTATCTCTTTCTCAAGTGTCAGTGGACAGGCCTCTGTCTCATCCTCAATGGTCTTCTGAGGTGTGTGGGAAACCCTCTGCCTCTGGTAAGGGACCTAAGTGTGTTCAAAGAGTCTAAAGTCATGGTGGAAGGTGAGTGGAAGATGTTTTCACAGTGTACAAGTCAAAATAAGTCTAAATAAGTACTTTCTCGTGTCTCTTGTCCCATCCAATTCCCACTCCCCCCTCCAGGGTCTGCGTTGAATATCCCGCTGGTCGGGACACTCCAGCTGTTGTGAATTACAATTAGGTATTTCAGGAACATTCAGCTTTTCCTACAGCACTCTCTCTTTGCCTCATCTCCTCTTTGTGTGTTCTACTCATTATTTTTTAAAAAGTAAACTGTTCCCCAAGAGCCTGAAGGTCTGGTGCAGCTGCCGTGATGAACAGCAACTCAAGAAGCTCTTCCCCTTCTAAGGTGATGGACAAGGGCAAGGTAAATGCTCCAGTGTTGGGGGCCTGAAGCCACACCCCTTCTTGTGAGACCGCTCCTACTTGACAATCTGCTCAGATGGCCGTGCTTTACATGGTAACTGCCTCAAAATCTTTATGCCAGAAACTGATTGCTCCTGGCTATGCAAGTTAATTTGCAAGTGACCTTTTATCCTTCTTACTTGGTGTATTTCTGGAAAGGATATGAGGAGTACTGATGTACTTGGCTTTAAATTGCACTGCAGTACTGATCTCACTCTTGTCCTTGATTTGGGAATGTTGCTGAAATCTGACTAGTTGGTTGGTTGTTTTTTTCTCCTCTTGCCCGTTTTGGTTAGACAATTAACCTGTTCAGAGCATCTTCTATAATTGTAATTAACTTTAAAAAGGTGAAAAGTCATCATTTCAACTATATTGTGTGATTCAGTGTTGAATGCTCTTAGGCAAAGTAAATTCATTTTAAGTTGTAAAACCCATCATTATTATATCTTCATTTGGAAGAGTGCTATTTAAGAATTTCTCCATTTGTACACTAGGGAGAGCCCACTTTCTTTTTCAGGTTTTTTTTTTTTTTTTTTAAAGATGACCATTAAGGGGATCTTAACCCTTCACTTGGTGTTGTCAGCACCACGCTCTCCAAGTGAGCTAACCGGCCATCCCTACATAGGGATCCGAACCCACAGCCTTGGTGTTATCAGCACCACACTCTCCAAAGTGAGCCACGGGCCGGCCCTGGCAAAGCCTACTTTGAATGATCTGAAATTACAGATTGATAACAGAAGAATGTTTGCTGCAACTGAAATAGTAGTGAAAATCTGTAATTACCTGTTGATTCCGCTCCCAGCAATGGCCTTAAATTATGTTCGCATAACTGTATTCTCTTGTTACTTCTGTTGCTGTTATAGCTGGTAAGTCTTCTGATCATACCTCATAGTGCTTCTCTATGTTGAAATCAAAGTAAGTTTAAATATTTAGAGTTTCCAACCCAGTTTACCATAGGAAATGATTAGTCAGTATCTTATAATATATAGTATTTCTAAAGAATGAACGTAAATATTAGAGCTGTGCCTGCCTAATTGTATATATAACATTGTTTCTGTTGGAAGATCCTTCCAGCTTCTCTATGTTGAAATCAAAGTATTAAATATTTAGAGTTTCCAACCCAGTTTACCATAGGAAATGATTAGTCAGTATCTTATAATATATAGTATTTCTAATGAATGAAGGTAAGTATTAGAGCTGTGCCTGCCTAATTGCATATATAACATTGTTTCTGTTGGAAGATACTTCCGAGTTCCAGGGCAGGACTCCAGGAACACATATCTCTTGAGAGATCTCTTTATCCAAGGGAAGCTTGGGTAAGACCCAAAAGCCCTTTGAGGCGGAAGACTTTAGAGAGAGTAGAGACCCCTTTGTTAGAGAGGCAAAGCACAGGTGGAAAGAGCAAGGGCTTGGAGGCAAACCTGGTATTGAATTCCAGCTTGGCCTCTTCCATGCTGGGGGACCTTCAGCAAATTATCTAAAACTCTGTTCTCCCACAATGAAAATAAGATGGTCATACTTAGAGATTTAGAGATCTGAGAGTTCAAGATATATGAAAGCCCTTTTGAAGGTACTCTGATTAATAGCTATTAGGACATGTGTAGAGAATGGATTTTTCATTCCTTTTTATTCTCTGCATTTTTAATATAGAAATAAAGAGCTATTGTGGTGAATGCAGGGAGTGACTGCCTTAGAGGCACATCACAGTGTGTATGGTATGACTATTTTATTAATCAGGAGCAATCTCCACTGATAAGCTTTGACAGTCCTCTTGCTTTTCCCTTCTATTTGCAGACACAAGTTTCACTCGCTGTCAGTGTCGCTTGGAGAGGCCACTGTCAGGAGAAGACGGCTGGCCTCAGAAGTTGGAACATGCCCAGCCCACAGCCTCCAGCAAACGACACCATGAGTCACCTCATTAACACAACAGTAACAGGGTTTGGAAGAGCTGTGGCTCGCGAGTACTGGAGTCCAAACCCTTGACCTCTACAGGCATCTCCTAGAGGTGATGCTGCCCGGTGCAGGTGGATGCCCCCACCCACCTGCACATGCACCACCTTGACCCCAAGCCCACATCAGGGACACAGCCTGATGAGATCCACGCATGTGCAAAGGTGCTCGCTGTGGCGTGTAGGGAACAGGGCAGCCACTGAGACCAGGGGCCAGAGCCCACGGTGCCAGCCCAAGATACTGACAGGCTTTCTCCCAGAATGTGGGCTGAGGGTCAGGTAAGGCAGTATCCCAACCACAACCAGCCAGTGACCACATGTGAACGAGGCGCCAGCAGTGCCTAGAAACCCAACTTCAGGAGCCTCAGTGTCATGGCCAAACGCACTGGTGTGGTCAGTGAGGCATAGTGAGCCCACCGCGGGCCCTGACCATGCAGCGCCAGGCAGGCCATGGCCTCCACGCAGGCAAGATCCGCTAACGCAAGCCAGGAGGGCCCATGGTCCTGGCCAAGCTCCCACCAGGACCTGCCTTCTCACCACGGATTCGTCACTTCCCCCTGGATATTCTCACAGTCTGCTAACCAGTCACCCAACCTGGGGACCCCACACTTGTGCCACCCCGCTCAGGCACTGAGGAGGCCATCCTGAGGACTGGGGTCATGGGCATCCAAGGGCTCAAGTTCATGAGAGGAAGCAGGGCTGGGGCTGTCACCACCACAGGCAGAAGAGCGAGAAAGGGAGCCGCACCACCTGTCCCCGGCCCTGGGCTCCCAAGGAGCGCCCCCTTTCTGCTGAGGTCCTAGGCGCCGGCTACAGAGGGATGCGCCAAGCAGTACGTGGGACCAGAGAACAGAGACTCTGCCCATGCACACTTCCCAGGACCCAGCGCCAGGCAAGACAGAGCGGGGAGGCCAGCAGCAGCACCGACAACAGGAGAGGCAGAGCTGCCCGCGCCTGAGGCTGCCCCCAGGTGGGGCTCGAGTACCACCAAACAGACCTCCCTCATCTGTTACCAAGATAAAGGGTCAAATGGCTTTGGGGTCATTTCAGGAAGAAAGAGCCCTGTGACATTTGCACTTTGAATACTGGTGGCAACATCACAAATGTCTTTATGGAGGAGAAGGCAAAGAGCCTGTGTTTTCAGGTGCTCTTTCAGGGCAGCTGGTTATTTTTACTGCTGTTGGCACAGTTTTCCTGATTTAAGACCTGGCGCTCCTGCCCCCTGACCATCTCCCTGGGTAGACGCACACCCCCAGAATCTAGTTCCAATGGCAGAAAGGCTCGGGGGCTTGTGGGGGCATGGGAGGGCTTCATAGGAGCAAAATATCTTACCTGCTCCAGGGTCCAGAGGAACAGGCCAGCACATGCAAAGGGAAAAGGGAAAAAGAAATTAGATTCACATGCACATCAACAGAGTACTGGAGTAGCAACTGGAAATTTTGGGTTCTGATAAAACGTACAATTACATTACGACAACATTTACAAGACATGGTTGTATTTAAGGGGTTTTTGGCCAATTACAATGCACAAATATGAACCAACTCACTCTCCATTATGTAAAAAAGTCACAAAGGGCTTCCCCGTGCCTCGGCTGGGAAAGGGGGCTTGTGTGGGTCAGAGGGAAGGGGGCCCACACACCGCTGAGGAGTGCAGATGCAGAGCCACAGCCGCCCCCTCGGATGTCATGTCGTATGGAAAAGGCCCTCTTCCCACTGCTTTCCAACTCACTTCTGTTTTAGGAGGTGACACAGTCTCCAGTAGCTCTGGTTCCTGTTCACCTTAAACTTGGAGATGCATGTGTATTTTTGCTTGATTTTTAGCACTATTTTGTGCTACTGTAACATTTAACCTTGGTGGCTCACCATTCAGACCTTTCAGAAGCTTTTTAATCCCATGAAAGGCCGGGGCCCTCATCGAAGCTCCACTCCCGCCCATCTGTGTGCAAGGCAAGAGGTCCTGAGAACACAAGAGGCATCAATGAAAATCAGAGCAGTGACCTTTTGAACCGGTCTCTTTGCAGGGCAAGAGACAGGCAGGCGGGGGCCCCAAGCCCCTCAGCTCGGCAGCCCCTGCACCTCCCCGTGAAGAGAGCCCCCTGTGGAGAAAAAGGAATGAAGGAAACAGCAAGCATGGGCCACCCTCCCCATCCCAGCACCCTGCCTCTTGTTTTAGGGACCAGGTGTGTCTTGAAAAACCACTTTCTGGAAACACCACCAGCCAGGCCTCCCCGGGGTGTCAGCCTCTTGAACCATCAGCACAAATGTTGTCAGAAACCTCCTGGTCCTTCAGCAATTGGCCTGGATGTAGGGGAAGGGGTAGCAGGGGCGCCCTCGGCCACCAGAAGCTGCTCCAGGGCAGAAGGGCCACAATCCCCGCCCAGGGAAGTCCTGCAGGGACAGCGAGGGGCCCCAGGCACTGGCGGGGCTCAAAGGGACAAAGGTTTTCATGGGTGAGAGCAGCTGAGCATAAAAGGCAAGCGTTTGGGGTCAGCCTGGGGAGGGGGGCCCGCACGAAGCCCTCGTGAGGAGCAGCCTTCTGGTGTGCCTCCCAAAATGCGCCATTAATCTCAGACTTTTTTTTTTTTTCCTTTTTGTCTTTTTTTTTTTCGTGTCCGGCAACGGATCGCAACCCTCAGGGTTGCACCCATACCAGACCGGGACCGGCAACAGGATCGCAACCCTCGGTGTTGCTCCCACACCTCGCTCAGCCAGTGAGCGGGAACCGGTCCATATGTGGGATCCGAACCCTCAGCGGGAGCGCCACCGCGCTCCCAAGCGGCGCACTGTAGCAGTGTGCCACCGGGCCGGCCCTAATCTCAGACTTTTTAACCTCGCAACTGCAAACTGTGTGAGTGATGGGACCTTAAATAGGTCCTCTTAAAAGGAAAGCTCAAAAAGGGGATGTACAGCAGTCACATGCTCACTAAGTCCGAGATGGACACCACGCAGCCCCTCCAGCAGGCTCGGGCAGCAGGGCAGAGCCGACTCCCAGCAGGGGAGGCCACCATGTTCCCACAGCTCCCGACCACAATGGACCTCTGTGGACAGGTGCCAAGTTTCCTCTATTCAACAAGCACCTGAGAATACATGCTCCTGAGCACCTGGAGCCACTGGGGAAGGCGCTGCTGGGGCAGGGGGGCAGCGGCGATGACCAGTCTGGCTGGAAGGTGCAGGGTCTGCTCTTCTCAGGGATTGTCCTGGGCCCCCACAGTCCCCCATTACCCAAGCTGGCCCAAAGCACGCCTGGGCTCACAAATACCCTCACTCCCATCGGGTGACCCAAGTGCTGGTTGTGCCCAAGGGCATGAACCTCTAGTCCTCAAGGGCCGTGCATTGTACCCACAGCCCTGGTCCAGGGCCAGGTGCTTGCTGGGGCCATCAGGTAGGCTCATTCACATGGGGATGCCCACACTGTGATGTGGGCACCCAATCCAGCCTATACCAGCCCAGGATGGGGAATGGGGCTCTTGATCTGGAGAGGCACTCCAGCGAACTTGTCTGTCCCATGGCTGGCCCAACTGGAGAGTCCTGCAAAATACCAGCTGGGACTTCGACAATCACACAGTCTGTACCCCGCCCCCCAGGCCAGGGTACCAAAAGGAAGGGAAGTGAAGAGTGTCCGGCCAGATCCAGCCTCTGCGTTCCTGTCCCACCTCCAGCCCCTCTGGGGAGACAGGAAAGCCTGAACTTTTCACCTTGGGAACAGACACCCAGAGAAACGCCACAGAAGTGTCTGCCTAGGAGGCAGAGGAGGACAGCCTCCTGACCGTCTGCAGCTTTTCCCCTACCATTCCCCCCTCCAAAAATGTGTATTGCCCGTTTTACAATCACCAGGTGGCAGCCCAGGAACTGCAGGCCTCCCACCACCCGCTGTGACTGCCTGACCTCTCATAAACAGGACAAAGCCCAGGACCTGTGGCCATGCCCCTGGGCCCGCAATGGACCATACAG